ATCAGGTAGAAGGATATTGTGGCAAGCACATGTGGAATAATTTACTTCACAGAGCTCTGATCCTTTTGGCTAAGATTAACTTTGCCTCTGTACTACGAGGCTTCATACCCCTTCCATATTTCTTGACATCATTAGCTATTACAGCATGGCTAATCTGTGTTAGTCATGGAAATTTTCAGTTCATTGTGGCTTTTACTAAGATACTGCTCTTTTGATGAGATCTATGCAAAGCAATCCAGGCACACCTACCTTTATGCTATCTGTGGTTTGAGAAGTTTCGTGTAATCCTTGTAATTAAGGGCTACCTCTAAATGTTGCTGTCTCATTCCTTCTCCCATTGTCTATCATCAGCAAATATATATTAGCTTTCTAACATATAGCTAAGGTCTAGCAAAAAGCCTTGAGGAAGTCACACCTTTACCTTTTGTCATTGTCCCATGAAATAGTATGTGGCTGAAGGAGGCTTGCCCATTGACTTATGTAGCCACATACCAGAGTTCACACTTGCCCGTTTCAGAGCCCCGTTAGGGATGTACTCTGAGTCAATCTGCAAGACAGTAAAAATAGATACTATATTAAAGCGGTAGATGTAGCAGATTTGGGATTGACATTGATAATACACTCACTGCAATATAGTGCTAATGTATGATAGTAGTGTTAGCAAAATACTATCCCAGGTATTTATCACCAGAGATGAAAATGTAATTCTTACCAAGAAGACAGCACTGTCTTGGGTGGAGGAGAAGGAGCCCAGCCCGTTGGCTGCTTTTCTGAGTCTTTTCTCAAGTGAGGGATGTGTTCCCTCAGTACTGTCTATATCCTAACCTTACCTATCCCCCTCCCTGGGGCAGTGTTTAGCATGATTTAGGTGCAGAGTTGAGTCCTGTAGTCATAGATGGTTAGCATGTACTTTGCTAAGCTCATTAACATAGTCAGGAGTGTCAACTTTAATGTGTATATTAGAGATAATGAAGCAAAAGGTCTCACTCCTAGCGCTGTGGCCTTCACAATTCTGTTTTGCAGTAATTTATCTGCCTTTGAAGTCTTTAATCTGTGTATGTCCATATTCTTAGCCAAAGCAGGGCCATCCTGGCACCACAAGACTCCCTCCCGCACTGGTTCTCACTGGGCAGGCCTTGTTGATCTCCATCCCCAGTGCCTGCACAAGAGACAAGTGGACACCTGCACCCTTAATGCCTCGGGTTCCAATCTCAGGGGCATGTATAATTTGTAGTAAATCATCAGACTTCATAGTGAAATCATCAGATTTTTTTTTTTTGAGAAGAAAAGCTCTTTTGTATCAGTCAACCATGTCATGTCTTGCTCTGGATCAGCAACTCTGAAACACTGTTTTTGCTGTAATACAACGTGAATTTTTGGTGAATCCGGCCTAAACGTCCTCTGACGTGGGAGTATTTGGAAGCAAGGTGAATATACCTCCAAAGCGTTTAGAGAGAAGAACAATCATAGCTGGACAAGTGGGGTTTGGTTTGGTTTCATGGAATAACACACCAACCTGAGCTGCTTTTCTGCATCTGATTTTGATTCCTGTGCTACCTCCAGAGTTGTGCCAGTCCGACTGCTTACATCATTGGGTGGTGAATGAAGTCTAGGTTTTGATTTCAGTTTAAAAATAACCTTTTTTTCCCCTGATGCTGATGGAGAAAAGCACTTGCTAAGCTACAGCCTAAAGGATTTTTATTGGCCTAGTGAGAAAAGGCAAGAGTTAGCTCTCTGTGCAGCCTTGAAACCCAGTGAAGAGAAGATGACAGCAAGCATTGCCATGGGGCCAACAAAATCTTTTAAGCACATTTTATGCTGGAAAGATAGATTCAGTTTTGTGAGCAATGGGGCTTGCTGCTTCGGTACTCTTCCTGCATCCACTGAGAGAAAACTCATGTATATTCTTTATAAATAAACCTGATGACACACATTGACATACCTGCCCCTTGTTGTCCCTTCCTCCCCAAAATGGGGACAGCCTGGCAGTCCCCCAAACCCTGAGAAACCATTCCTGAGGCAAAGGTCACCGTCACATTGGTGGGGCTTTGATAGTCGTCCAGAAACTCAGGTTTTGGGAACGGTGCCATAAGACTATTCTAGACTTGCCCGTTCCTTTGAAAATAAAATACATGTATTTGACAGAGCATTGTGATGGGATCTGCTCTTTTCCCTGGCCTCAGGAGGCCCACGGACTTTTGGCAGGGGTTGTCCTGGCAGAAAACAACGTTACTGAACCTGTTTGTTTAAATTTATACTGAAGCTCTAGAGTGAAAAACTGAGATCATTTACCAAACCCATGCTGTGAGGATGATACAAATACCTCGACAGCTAACTTGGTTTAAAAGATGCTGAGGCAAGACTGTGAGTATTGCCATTCTGCTAGTTTGCAGATTCCATATTGTACAGAAGAAAGTTAACTCTTCTGTTGTTGTGCACCGTGGCAAACACTAAATATCAATGCAAAAATATTCGCCATTTTAAAAACAACCATGTGTTCCTATTTTTTTAACACCATCTGTTTTGCAATCAGCATTTAGTCTTAGATATCCAGTCTGTAAAACAGGTGTTGCTTTATGAATTGCCACAAGTCTTTGCTTCCACTGCTCATGCATTCTCACTGTAATTTCTGCCCATACATAAAGAGCAAGTCACTGAAGTCTTTAGACTGTTGCCTCTCTTTAAATCATGTATTTGCCAATGAAAAATAACTCTAAAATAGTTTCTTAACTTCAGAATAGCAAACATATTTCAGAATAAAATAAAAAAACTTTTTGCACTGCTTTTTGCACTAGTATTGGTAACCACTAGGTCACCCATTTAAAAATGACAGTGGAATGGCTCAGATACTGATACCTGGTTCATTTCAGACAAGTATTGCAAAAAAACCTTACCCATGCAATGCAGGATGCAACAAGGATGCTTGGGCTGCAAACTAACAAAAGACAAAGAATGAACCAGACATAACATTTTCAGGATTGAGATTTTCCATCAGCCTCCAGAAATTGATTGATGTAAGAGAAATTGTTCTGCATGGGACCAAAAGATGCGACACAAGCTGATAAATGAACAATTGTGCTTAATAACAAAGTGGCTTTTCAGCTGACAGCTGTTTCACCAGACAATTTCGTTAGAGGGCCAGATGGCCAAAGGGACACATGATGGAAAGTAATTTAGTAGGATGGCTCCACAGAAGGAAAAGCTCATAGTTCTTACGTATTTGAAACATCCCAGATTCAATTAATGGACTTAGTACGTAATGCCTAGAGCATTTTGCCTGTTCAAAACTCTGCTCAAGCTGGTTCTCACAGCTTCACTGCAAGGTGAAGCTGTAGACCACGGCATGACTCCTGCCTTAGAGCTCCAACTCAGGCCTCTCCATCTCCCCTCCTGACAACTGATTTTGTCTATGGTATCGGTCTGTGCCACTTACTGTTCTGCACCACGTTGCTTTTCTGCCCCTGACCTGGCACTGTGGAGTGGGAGGCAGAGGTAAGACCTGAATCGGAAGAAGATGTGGACTCGGAAGAAAAGGAGAAGACGTGAAGTTTACGCTTGTCTTACAGTAAGCTGCCTGTAGATGTAGACAGGAGAACAGCATTAGTTTTTATATCTGGCAGAAAAGGCAGCTTCCAAAGGCTGAAGTATTTTTAATCTTTTAAAAAAATAAACTACAATATTTTCAAGTTTTAACTCTTTTTTTTTTTCCTATCAAAAAGTAGGCAACTTAGCATTATTAGTTACCTCCACTACAAGTTAAACTGTCTTTGGAAAACTCTTAACACCATCTTCTGACTGCTCAGGGAAACGCAGTGACTAGTTTGTATTTAGACTTCTTCAATCTTACACAGCCTCAGATATTTTCAATATGAAGACTTTAAATATTTGGTTGAAGCTTTATTGAGTTCAGTCATTGCCTTTGCTAGCTGCTACTGGTATTGCTTTCTGCTGATAAAGCAGCTTTTCTTACAGATTTATGGGAATGAATTCAGGACTTTGCTTCTTTTTTAATACCCTTAGTACTGTGCTTGAATTCCCACCTGATTCACGGCAGAAGGTTTTGATGTCGAAATACACACTTCAAGTAACTATGAATTGTCATTGATTTTCCTCCTACTTATTTTTCACTTAGTATCTATGACTCCTTGTTTCTTCTTCCAGTTTTGATACCTGCATTGCTAGTTAGTAGATCTGGGTGGTTTTTTTGATATTTGAACATAAATCTTGCTATATATCAGCTTAGCCAAAAACAAAATTGAGAGCTACACTCATACATCCCACTTACTTTTTGGATTTGGATTTCAGACCCAGTGTTGCAATCAGATAGTTAGTGCTCTGCATTCACCATAAATGACAACTGATTTTTGTTAATGCAATAGGATGAGAAAAATCTTTTAGGCTAGCCAATATCATATTGCACAAGGCATGTCTTAGTCACACAGCTAGAGCAGAAAGCAAATTGATCATTTATTTGATAACTGATAGTCAGAACAGTATGAAATGTATTTTCTTGAATTTCTTTCCTAAACTTCTGATGAAAAAAAAATGATCAAGGCCATGAACAGAGCAATCTGTCCACCCATATTGTCTCATCTGCCATGCTCACATCAAACCCCTTCATTTCTCAGGTTTGAAAGAGATTTGAGGGGAGCCTCACTGAATCCTAGTTCAACCCTTGGTCGTACAAGCAGCTCTGTGTGTGGAGAAGCCAATGGAGATGTGCAGGTGACCAGAAGGCTACTGATACGCTATACTCATTAACCAGTTTAACATGTTTTCTGAGCCAGTGTTTCACAGGACAGTGGATTATAGACGGGCCAAATAATGGGAGGTGTGAAAGTAAAGGTCACAAAAGTAGGTAGATTGCTCTCACGGGTAGTACCATACCCCACCTTCCATGACTTGCACTATCACAAAAACGAGGTGTAACAGAGGGAAGGCAGAGCCAGATATCAACTGCTCCTCGATATCAATCGCACAATTTCATGTGTCCCTGCTAGGTCTTCTGGAGGATGGGAAATCAGCTCAGACAGGGGTAACGGCAGCAGCGGCCACAGCAGGAACGCTGAACACCGAGAAGAGGAACAACTGTGGTGCTCAGTGTGCAAACCCCGTGGTCCATGGCACAGGAGCTACAGTGCAGAGACAGAACATCTTCAGGACAGCAGAGGTAAGAGTGTAATTATATTCCCTGGTGCTCAGCACTAGCTTCAACCAGGTTGAACTTATTTTTGTGACAGTCTTGTTCGCTGCAGTCAAACTGTATTTAATGTCTTGGGATAAGAGAAAATGACTGCACCACAGCTACAGCGTGATTGAGCTCAGCACCTCTGACAATGCGGCGTGCCTGAATGGCCAAAAAATTCATGTTTTATTTGGCCAAGCCGATTAACACACACACTCATTACAGCAAAACAAGCTCCACGCTTATATTTTTCCAGCTTAGTCCAGCTACAGCATGTATTGTGCAAACTGTTTAGATTAATTATCTGAAATGGAATGGGATTTTCTTCAATTGCTGTTTTGCTTAAATTATGTGCACTGTGTAAACCCTGGTTCCTTCAAGGCTGGATGTGAAATGACTAGCTCAGAGAGAAAAATTAATTGGTCAGGTTGAATATGGTTGGACAGAACTAACATAATTATTTATACAATTTGAAAAAGACTTGGCCACACTTAAGACTTACAGTGTATACCTGACATATTGTTGGAGAAAATAATTTGTCTAATTTTCTAAGTGATTGAAAAATTACTTCTGTGTTAGACTTACTAAGAAGTATGGGCAAATTCCCACAGTTTATTAATAATATGTTGACTGTAATGGGACTGCTTGTTGAAGTGTAGGTTCCAGATTTAGGGCCCTATGGCTTTGAATGTATCGTCCTGCCTTTTTCTAGCTAAGATACATTCAGTAATATATATATGTAGTGTTGCAACTCAGTGCAAAGAAAACTTCTGACATAGGGCATTTACATTATTCTATGCATCTAAGGCACATGTCTAAGAAGGAAGGTAACATTGTCTAAACTTCTTGTAGTCAAAAAACAAATGCATTTTTGTACCGTGAAAGTGTAGTATCTGAGTTAGTCTCCAGCTCTGGTTTGCCATTCTGAATCTCTGTTTCTCCACCAACTGTTTAGAGAAGCATAAAATGAGCAGGTTTCCAATTTGGACACTTAAAGTTTAAGTGCCTGGAGTTGAGAATGTGCCTCAACTCAAACCGTGCCCATTTTATTAATCTGAATGTTCACACTGATTACAGTTGTAACTGTAGAACACAATGTGATGCAATACACTTGGGTTCTGCCATCAGCCTGTGGGGGTAGAAGGGGGTAAATTGCTTTGCCCCTCTGTTTCTCATTTTCTCGGGCATCAAGCTCTACAACATCCTACTGCCTTACCCCTATGACCAATTATGTGACAGGGTACAATGTGTGGTATCAAAAGGGAATGAGTTTGACATGGGTGACACCTGGGAAATATTAGTATCCTCTCATGAGGATAATGTGAAAATAACTTGGAAGCAATAGATGCAATGATGAAAGGAGTCCTAATACCAGGGAAGGCAACAGAGTGGTCAGGCACTCCAAAAGCAAAGGTGGTGTCCAGATTATGTCACTGGCTGAGAGTAACCTGGTTTGATTTTCATATGTGCAGTCTTCAGAGTCCCTGTGTGAACAGGAGCAGGAAGAGAGTAGATAGCAAAGACGCAGGTGTATCCGGGCTGCAGAAATGTGCAGTAATACACAGCAGCAAATAAACACCAGGTTTTGCTTTCAGATAAATACATACCTTCTACTCACGTCAGTGGAAGCTTACCAGATATTATTCCACCTGACATTATTGCCATGTAAAAGATGCCTAACTTACCTGGCATTCTTTATGCTTACAAATTGTCTAATGAAACACTGGAAATGCAATAATCAAACCCACCTTACTCAGCTCTGTGGCTCTGTCAGCCCGGTTCTGAGTTTCCTTTGCTAGACCTATCCAGTTTACTGCGCATTATAGTGCGTTGCTTATGGCAACAAGGAGACAGACCAGGAGATGGAGAATGACAAATTTAAATTAGAGATGCATTTGCATGCTTCAGACAGCTCATGAAGCTCTGAAAGGTATATATTGTGCTTGGGTCTTATATTCAGACAGAACTAAGTGTTATTTTGAAAATGTATTTTCACTTAAGAAACTCAAAGTAGAGAAAATTCTGTCTCAGGCTAGTGACATTCAGTTCCCAGTGACATCAAAAGGAACCTCTAATTTCTACTTCTGGACTGAAAACAAATTTATGTGCTCTGCTTTTAGAATACACATATGATAGAATACACGTGTGATAATTACAGCCAAGCGGCTTGACCAAAAGTCTACTGATGTCCACAGCCTCTATAGCAGTTACAAAAGCTTGTGTCAACGCGGAGTGAGAAAGTTGTTCCACGTCACAGTGCTGTGCAAACCATGCTGGAGGCATTCAGTTTATTAAGTAGAACTGTTTTCATAAACTAGGAGGTAATCATCAATGACTCTGTGCTGTCAGTGTGGAACTCACTGTACTGTTTAAAACTTCCACAGGGTAAATGGGACACACAGAAAATGTCCACAAAAGAAGCCACCATTAATGTTGCAAAAAGCATCAGACAAAGTGACAGAAGGAAAGCAAAGAATTGCATCAATTAACAAAGGAAGCGTGGGTGAGGATGGACCTAACAGAGCTTCACTGCACTTTAAATGTCATCAGTCGCTGAAGATATGAAGATCGCCAGATGTTCCATGTTGAACACAGCAGGCAGCTGCTGCTGAGTGCCTTTAGAAACATGTCTTGTAGAAACCAGCTGCAGACTCCGTAGGACGTCCAGATATCATTTGTCTAAAGCGGTGGCACTTAGCAGACATGCACCAAAATCCATGCCATTTGGTTTTTATCCCATGTTATCTCCTTGTCCTGTTCTGCATTGCCATTAGGATGAGGCTGGATGCTGAAAGGTACAATTCATCACAGTTTAAACCAGGAAATGAACAAATGAATCGGCATTTTTAGTTTTAAGGGGGTTTGGGTGTGTACATTCAAACCCAAGGACTTAAAGTGCTCACTTTTGTAAAACTCAAACCCAGAGATCTCAGAAAGAGACGTAAGTGGCTTCCACTAAATCTTTTTTTAAACTACATATACCAGTTATATATATAGTTCAGTCATATAGTAACATTTTTATATATTTTTAATTACTTAGTTTTAATTTATTTTCTGTATTGACAGAATTTAGATTTTAAAACCAGCAACTTCTCCTTTCTTCTCCTCTTCTGAGGCCCAGACTGACTTGGAAAAAACATCAATGACATTGCATGAAAACAACTATAATTCTTAAAACCATATTCCAATGACAGCTCTAAAACTTAACTTTATTTGATCAGATATAGTTGATTTGCTGTTCAGAGCTTATTTAATTGCATTGTAAACATCTTGTGTCAAACTACACCACGTTTATCATAAATATACAGCTGAAAGGAATATGAATGTTCACTATAGTAACAGAAATAAATTCAACACATTGCTTCTCAATATAGAAGTAATAATAAGTGTTCTGTGTGAGTTTGTATGTTTATGAAGATAAAAGAGGTAACTTTATTTGCTTCCCCCATCAGACATATATGAGTATCTTTAGAGGGCCTTTTAAAATAACTATTCAAAAGTTGTTCATAACAAACAGATGGCATTGGGAAGAAAATACGTGTATGACCTGTAAGAAGTCCTTTTACACGTAGGCAAATAAGTATAAATAAAATTGTGGGACTGAATTCTTCTTTATTCCATATTAAAATCATTTTAATAACTTGCTGCCAGGTGTGTGAGTACATAATACTTTCCTTGGAGTACAAGAAGTCTGTGCAATAGGGAAATGTTTATTAATTATTCTGACACAAAGACAAACTGAATTCCAGAGTCAGTGCAAGATCTTTGCATACAACAGCATACGTGTAAGAAATGTTTATTTTTAGATGTCCTAAAAAGGGGCAAAGAACTTGTGCTAAGCTGTCTGCATGTCAGCGCGTTATCTGGGAAGTGAGCTTGTGCTGCACATTTTCGTAGAAGAACTAAAAATTATTGAAAATATCATTGTATGGGTAAGACAAAGGCAATCTGTGCATGCCTTTCCAACTTGTGGCTTGCTGCCAGCTTGGTGGCAACATTATAGGATAGGAAGGGCCTTGACTCACTGTAACAATAAACAGTGGCTGTAGCAGCTCAGCAATATTAATTTAGAAATGGATAGCCATTGTTGGTAGCTGTGTACTGACCTAATTGAATGCACGCATTCAGGGTTCTGCATTATTTGTGTAGCGCAGCAGAAGACGAACCATTTCAGATCTGTGCCAGACTTGTAACTCGCTTCTGTTTCAAAGGATTTACTGGCAGAGCGATATGATAGTATGATACCGGAAAGCTACAGAAAGCAATTAATGATTCTGGTATGTGAAAGGGTAGAGGGGATTTAGAGGGAAGGCAGAAGGGAAGGCTCATTGTTTGAGAAGCTGTTCTACATATATTTGCATCTACTCACCATGCTAGGGTGAGTAGATGCAAGAGCAAGGGACTCAAGGCAGTGAGATTATTTACTAAGAAATTATTTCATAATGATCTGCAGACCAGTGTACCTGATGGCTTGGGCGTCATAACCGAAGAAAGCCTGCAATGCAGCATAGGGCATCGGGATGAGACGTAGCCCTAGCTGCACAGTCAGCCACCAGCAGGGAGGCAGTCTTTGAGTCTCTTGTGTTCAGAGCGTAAGATGGACTGAAGCCAATTGTATGAGGTTCAGCAAGGCCAGTGCCGAGTCCTGCATTTTGGTCACAATAACCCCCAGCAGTGCTACAGGCTTAGGGAGGAGTGACTGGAGAGCTGCCAGGCAGAGAGAGACTTGGGAGTGCTTGTGGGCAGCCGGCTGAACATGAGCCAGCAGTGTGCCCAGGTGGCCAAGAAGGCCAACGGCATCCTGGCCTGGATCAAAAATAGTGTGTCCAGTAGGAAGAGAAATGATTGTGCCCCTGTACTCAACACTGGTGAGGCCACAGCTTGAGTACTGGGTGCAGTTTTGGCTCTGCAGCGTAAGAAAGGCATTGAGCGGGTCCAGAGGAGAGCAATGAAGCTGTTGTGGGGTCTAGAGAATAAGTCTTATTAGGAGTGGCTGAGGGAGCTGGGATTGTTTAATCTGGAGAAGAAGAGGCTAAGAGCAGACCTCATTTCTCTCTACAACTACCTGAAAGGAGGTTGTAGTGAGGTGAGTGTTGGTCTCTTCTCCCAAATTGCTAGTGACAGGATGAGAGGAAGTGGGCTCAAGTTGCACCAGGGGAGGTTTAGATTGGATATTAGGAAAAATTTCTTTACTGAAAGAGAGATGGGGCATTGGAACAGGCAGTCCAGGGAAGTGGTGGAGTCACCATCCCTGGAGGTGCTCAAAAAATGTGTAAACATAGCATTTCAGGATATAGTTTAGTAGACATAGTAGTATTGGGTTGATGGTTGGACTTGATGATCTTAGAGGTCTTTTCTAGCCTTAATGATTCTATGATTCTGTGTGACAGGACAGTTAGCAGGAGATGGCCTTGGTACATAATTATCTGGGCAATACTACAGACCTTGTTTATGTTGACTACATTCCCCACTAGGGTGGCAGCTGTGGGGAGCGATGAAGGCTGACTGCTCTGGATGAGCCCTCATGATATCCGCTCATGAAAACTTTCCTGAGCTACTTCAAGATCCCATTAACCTGTTATATTCTGAACTTTAATTTTAGGGCATTCAAAGACTGCATCCAACTTCTGTGGTACAAATCATGACTAGTGACGAGCAACACATGCAACACATTACTGTTCTTATTCATCAAGTGGTAGCTGAAAAAAAATTACATAATGTCTTAGGTGGCTTTTTAGTTCTTGAGGCATAAGCTTCCAATGACCTTAACAAAAGTAAGAGCATGTTGTGGAGCTGTGGATCCTGGCTCTGTACCTAGATAGCAGTATATTTATGTTTTCTTTATTTTCCTTCTACTGGAGACAACCACCAATAGAAGTAACCAAATTGCTTAAAAAATAATATACCACTTTGTATAGCAAGGGTGACAGAATCTAGTCTATACTGCTTAAGAAAATTTAAAGTCATAAAATTAGGTTCCTGTGCTGGTTTTAGTAAAAGAAGCAAGCTCCAAGAATCATCTGGACTTCATCACTCCAGGTGGCCTTCCTAGGAGTGAAGAATCTTGTTTACAGGGTCTGTTTGTCCAGTAGCATCTTTCAAATACAAAAGGCTCAAATACAGAAAGTAAAATAACCATGTTAGAAGACGCAGACTTTTAGATAAAGGAGCTGTGACATCTCTGTCTTCTTGTATGACAGGACTTTTGACATTTAAATTTCCTCAAAAAGATACTATACCACTTAATTTTTTTGATGTCCCATGGCTGCACACAAGTTTCTCTACAGCTACACTAAAACAACACGCTTTCTGCTGGAATGATTTGCCAACATCTCATGAGTTTTTATGATTTGCCTGAGTTCAGGTTTTAAACAGAAACAAACTTACTTTGTCATGTTTCCATAATTCCAATACAATGTATAGATAGGACTTTCCTCTGATGTGTATATACATGTAAAATACTTTTTCTTCCACTATGTGAGAAATGGAATCACTGAAAAGAAGGTAGATATTGGATAAAGAAGAGAGAGAATTTACCATTGCTTATAGACATGATTAGGCAAATTCATCTTCTCAAAGACTCAGCAGTTTCATCTTTCAATGTTCCTTCATCTTGTCCCTTACGCTTCCTTAATGTATTTAATTATTTCACCATTACTGAAGGACATCAACTGGAAGACATGCAATTTTACTGTGTGGCAGAAATAATCTTACACTGAAAAAACAAGAGAGTTAATTATTGTGTAAGCAATATATGAGTACTGGGTTAAACATTCATTCTTGTTAGACTGAGATTGCATACAAAACAGAAAACTGATGTTTTTTATCTTCCTAGTATGTTTGTATACATATATATACATGTGTGCATGTCTCTGCATGTGTACATGGTCATGTCTTTAGTGTGTACATCTGCAGTTCAGGCATGGTTTTCTGCGAACGTTTTTACTTGTGTTTTTAATTCGGACAACCAAGTGTAAAATGTTTTAACGTTTGAACTGAAACCTGTTTTACATGCCTCATGAATATAGTGAGCTCTATAATTTGTGCACAGAAATAGTGTTATGAAAAGACAGGCTTAGTTTTATTTGGAAATAATGAATCATCTGTCTAAATTCAAACAAGACTAACAGCAACATTTTTTACTCTTGTTTTATCTGCAAATTATTGAAGGTTGAAATTGAAAACGAAAATAAAGAGAATTTGTAAAGTGTGTGTTTGTTACTCCGTGCATTTTACATTCCTGTGTTTATGGTCAGTTTAAGAGCTAAGACCAAAGACATTGAAGGTATAATGAGTGGTTCCTACTTCCTCTTTTCAGAGAATCATTTCTAGAATATTTCCAGCACGTCACTTTAAGAAAGTCAGGAAGAGACCAGCTAAAGCAGTTAGCAGCCTCAGAGACCCCCCAGGAGAGCCGGTGGAAGCCTACCTGCTCCGTTCAAGAGCGCACTGCTGGAAGCATGCCTATGGGCTTCTTTTGCATTCACTG